CATCCGCCGCCGCGTGTCCCCTCCACTCCCATGCCCGTGATCCTCCTCCCCCATCCCCTCCACGTGTGATCCATCCAACGGTCAATACCCCTTATATATAACCCCCGAATCCCCTCCCCCACAAACCAAAACACGAAAAAAAAAATCCCCAAAACAAAACCCAGGAGAAGTAAGTAATTTTTTTTTAAAAAAAAGAAAAAAGAAAAGAAAAACACGAAAATGGTTTTTTTCTGTTTCCTGGTGGATCAGAAGAGGATGATAAAGGACAGCAAGCCGGCGGCGGGGATCTGCTCGAGATGCGGAGGATGCGGAGGCTGCGCGAGCGTCGCCGACATGGAAACCGCTACGAGGTTCTGTTACGTGAAGGTGTATCGGAAATCTTGGAGGGCGATTATTTGCACATTTTGTGGGGCCATGCTCAAATCCTACTACTCCGGTTATTCCTAAATAATAGTCCAATTTGGATTCGTTGTATATCTGTTGTTTTTTCAATTCTATGATTTTGTTTTTTTTTTTTTGGTGGTGGGTACTTTTTTGGGGGTGGATATTGTTAGTTGGGTGAGAAAATAATAAAACTATGTGAATGTATACATAATTATTAATGTTACGATGTGAAATGTTATAATTCAGTCCAGCGAGAGAGACTTTAAAATGGTAGCAGGGCGATTCAGAAGTAAATTTTATTTATTTAGATCTAAAACATGTATTTCTTTAAAAAAAATATCTAAACAAATTTGCCAGGGATCGAGTGGAAACTAACTTAATTTTACATTTAATTGCACTTTTTAACTCGTTAGCATTGAAGGAGTTTTGTCTTTTGTTAGTTTTGAAAGACATAGGGGAGATTGTAGGTTGAGACTCGTGATGTGGAGTGAATAAATGGCGTGAGAGGCTTCGACGGATTGCACATGCATATGTCGTGCCCGTGTATGGTTAGTAATGCTATCTTAGTTTCTATTTTTTGATTTTAATTCGTAAGATTTGAAATCTATAATATCTAAGGGTCTGGTTGGATTCGTAGGAGGTGAAGGGAAATTAAGGGAAACTGAGTGAATGGAAGGGAAGGGAAGGGAAGTGAATTCTCTCACTCCAATTTGGGGGGTAACAATTTTTATACTATTAGGGGGTGAACCAAGGTGAATGGAGGTGAATTAACTTCATCTCCTAAGTGTTCCCAAACAAGATACTATTAGGGGGTGAACCAAGGTGAATGGAGGTGAATTAACTTCATCTCCTAAGTGTTCCCAAACAAGATGAATGGAGGTGAATGGTTCCCCTAACTTCCATTCACCCTCATTCCCTTCAATCCAAACAAGCCCTAAGGGTTTGTTTGGTGGAGTGGACCTGCGAGTGTAAATAGAATAACAATACTTATATTTTAATTGTTTGATTTGCAATACTTTACTTCAAACAAAATTGATGAAATTATAATTTGCAGAGAAGATCCGGAGCAAAAACTGCAATTTGGAAAAATTAATTTAAAAAAAACTCTACTTCATATGAAAAACTCCTTTTAAATTCAAATTGAAAATCATCTACCCTCATGTGTTCTTATATGCCAAAATTATGTTGGCTTTGTGCAAACTGTTTTTCAACCAAACAATGAATTGTGTACTTTATGTTAGTAAAACAATTAAGGAGACAGAAATTCTGAGGCGTGAAACACTTTCCTTAAAGAAATATTTGCCCCCACTTGATATTCAAAGTTGTTTCGGGTTAATGCAAATTTTCTTCCCAGGATACAACAGAAAATGAAAATTCCAGTAAGCAAATCTGGAATTTTTCTTAATTCGTTGTGAAACAAGTTTGTAATATTGCAGATGTTTTTGCTAGAAAAGATTCAGAAAAAGGAAATTGTTAATAGATATCTGAAAACGTAAACTATTTATGGTTTTGAAAATGTGCTTCCAACAGTCACAATTTTTCAAAACACCCCTTGGAACAAACAACCACTTTTTAACAGTCACTTGTCTTTTCATAATTTTTAAAATTCAAAATAACATTAAGAAATATTCAATATACATATTTTAAAAAAATAGAACATTTAAGCGGCAGCGGCAGTGGCAAGCGTGCTAAGTGCGTCTAATAATCGCGTCAAAATCGCTCATTATTCGCGCTACCCGCACGCGGGTTTAGAAGCCTACACTTTGATCCATTATTCAAATCCCAATAAGCATTCAATGCTTTTAAACCTCTAAAAGAATGCTCAAAATTCCGATGTGGGACTATCTTGTTTTTTACAAACAAATACTAACACTTTAACATATCCACGTGGTATTCATTTCCTTTTGGACTAAAACTTGGACTATTTCATGCAATTGTGGTTTTTTCTTAAAAAAAATTAGAATGCGTGTCTAATGAAATTTGAATATGAATTGCTCTGGTACTATTTTAAACTTTGCTATGCTACACATAAACCCAAAAAATCTCGATGATTGAGGGCTTGCTTATACAACAGATGTCAATAATGAGCAAACTAATCATGGGAGAAAATCTTGTTTCTACCGCACATTATGAGCAAACTAATCATGGCCTCTTTCTCGTGTGTCACACAATGACACGATCACAAGTACTTTTCTTTTTTCGGTCTTCTTGAAGCTTATAAAGCTACACGTTTAGAGGGAGTTTGGAGAGCTTATTTTATAGTGAAATTAGATTTTAAGTTAAGTTTTTTCATATCTATATATTTGATAAAATACCAAATAAGCTAACCTATAATAAGTCCATGTCTTTTAGGAAAAACAGCTTATAAGCTCACCTATATAAGCAAGGCTTAACTAGAGCAATTACTATTCTACCAAAGTAAATTTATAGCATTTTTATCATAAAAGCTAAAAGTCACTAAAATTTTAGCATAACTTTTAAATCACAGAAAAATAAGCCATCTCAAACGCCCTCTTAGTCCTAAGTAGTAATAAGTGTACTACTCTCCTATACTACTTGGTATTGTTACCATTCACAAAAGAGGGGTCATTATGATGCCTCACATTTATAATTTTCAAATGGTGAATCATTGTGACCCCACTCTTTTTGTGAGTAGTAGCACCAAAGTATTAGCATTTTTTCCTTGTTTCTATCATGAGTGTGTTGGATTTAATCTAATAAATCTATTTGTGGGCACATATGATTAATCAATGTGTATTGCTATCTTTCAGGATAACCCACTAAAGTGATCAATTAAGTTGGGTTAATTTGGTATTTAAATAAGTCATGGGGTTATATGTGCAGATACCAGGTTGTAATTGTAATTTATTGAGGGGCTAAATTACAAAAGTACAACATCTATAAATAAGGGGTTATGGTCCCTAACCTAGGGTTACATTCTCTAATTCTCTTCACCCCCATCTAAGAGAGAAATTCGGATTTTAGAGGAACCCTAAGGTTAGAAGATCATCAAAAACCCAAATCAAGATTTCATCCATGGATTCAGGTATAAGCTTCCGCTCTTTTGATTATTGTTAATCTCTTTGAATTAATCATGGCTATATGGTTTTAGATCTCAAGTTTTGATGTAGATCTAACAAGTGGTATCAGAGCCACCTTGATTAATTCTTAGGGATTTAAGTTCTATTGGGTTTTTGATCTTAAATCTCTGGTTAAAGATTCAATTTTTGGGTTCGGATGAACAGTAATGTTCTCGGATGAACAGTAACGAAAATTTTTTCGGATGAACAGTAAAGTTTTTTCCGGATGAACAGTAACTGAAAAATCGCCGGTGAACAGTAACTTTTGGGAATTTTTTGGATTTTTCTTTGATTTTTCCTTCATTTTTTTCCAATTCTGGATCTGTTTTAAAAATAAAAATCAAAGGTTTTTTGGGTTTGTCGGCGGCGGTTTCAATTTGAAACCCTAAGGGTTCATGGCGAAAATTAAGGAGGTGGTTACCTCAAACGAACCTCGCGTTCGTTCAATTTTAACCGAGCTTCGCGTTCAAACGAACTTCGCGTTCGTTATCAAGTAAGCCTCTCGCTCAACGAACTTCGCATTCGTTCTAAGGTGAACCTCGCGTTCAACTCAGGTGAGCGTCAAGCTCAATTTTAACGAACCTCGCGTTCGTTCCAAGGTGAACCTCGCGTTCAACTCAGGTGAGCGTCAAGCTCAATTTTTAACGAACCTCGCGTTCGTTCTTCAGACGAACCTCGCGTTCGTACTTCAGACGAACCTCGCGTTCGTACTTCAGACGAACCTCGCGTTCGTACTTCAGACGAACCTCGCGTTCATTTTTTTTAAAACGAACCTCGCATTCGTTCTCAAGTTGAACCTCACGTTCTTTTATCAAACGAACCTCGCGTTCGTTCATTTTCAGACGAACCTCGCGTTCGTGCTTAAGTAGTTGAACCTCGCGTTCATTTTTTTAACGAACCTCGCGTTCGTTCCCAAGTTGAACCTCGCGTTCTTTTATCAAACGAACCTCGCGTTCGTTCATTTTCAAACGAACCTCGCGTTCGTGCTTAAGTGAGTCTCGTACTCAATACAGTCGAACCTCGCGTTCGAAGTTAAGGGAACTTCGTGTTCATTATGGTTAAGCCTCGGCTTTTCATGGGTCCACTTTGGTATACTTAATTTATTCAATTAAGTTATGGGCCCTAATTAAGCTGTGAGACCCCAATTAAGTTTTTGGAAATTCAGTTGATTTAAATTTTTTAATTTAAATCTAATTCGGTTTTTAATCAATTATTTAATTCAAATATTATGACACTAAGGTATTAAGGTTGTCTCTCACTCCAATTGATTAATTGAAACAAGAAGTTGCCAAAGTAACCTCTCTTGTGTAGATTGTTCATGAGGAATGTGAGATGTTTGTGTGTATGCTTTCGTGTAAATATTTAATCGGCCCAAAGGAAGGTTAATATTTATTTAGACTGTATACACATCTGCGATGATAAGCGTGTGACAATTATAAGGTTTACATGTGAATAATGAATCGATCCAAAGATAGTTTCATTATTTGACATGAGTTATTGTCAATGTTTGATCATTGCAACAAGGTATCACTTACAAGTTAATATTACTGTCCAAAGACTTGATATTAATGTTGTGCCGGTATCTTGGATGGGGATTGTCATTATTTGAATTTTATTGATTATGGTTATTGATGTGAGCATTCTTTTGTTTTATTTCAGCTAATGCATCTGCTGCAACAATTTCTGCTAACATCAACTCAATTCCCATGCTAAATGGGACAAACTTCAAGGTTTGGAAAGAGAACATATTAATTGTTCTTGGCTGCATGGATCTTGACTATGCATTAAGAACTGAACAACCCCAACCTCTCAATGCGGATAGCACTCCTGATGCAAAGAAGGAGCATGAGAAGTGGGAGCGTTCAAATCGCATGAGTCTTATGATCATTAAGCGCGGCGTTCCGGAAGCCTTCAGGGGCATAGAATCCGAAGGGATTACTAAGGCTAAAGATTTCCTTGCCGAAATTGAGAAGCGTTTTGCGAAAAACGATAAGGTAGAAACAAGCACGCTTTTAGCTCGCTTGATTTCAATGAAGTATAAGGGCAAAGGAAATATCAGGGAGTACATTATGGAAATGTCTCATATTGCTTCAAAGCTTAAGGCACTTAAACTCGATCTTTGTGACGAGTTATTAGTGCATCTGGTTTTGTTGTCTCTTCCTGCA